GGAAGTCTGTTGATCGTCACAATTGTAATCGTCTTCATGTAACATGGGACATAATAAATTATGTCTTGATTAGTCGAGCTTGCATGTTGGATTTCCTCCCCCTTTTTTTTTTTAAATTTGTTCAGTCAACATTTAAAGTATGGCAGCAGTTTTGGATTTTGGTTATGACCATGTTGAGAAGAAATTGGACGAAACGAGATGTGCACGGTGCAAGTTTTGCAACCCAGTTAAGAGAGACGGTTATCAAAAACCTTACATATTTTGATTGATTGACTTTCTACCCCACCAGGACATCCCACAAGCGATAAACACCCGATGACACAAAATGCCATCATGTGGATGAGGATCGCTGTGGAGAGGTCCCAGAAACNCGACATCGTTCAGAACGTCTATATGTCCATTGGTTAGTGCTGCGTTTCAATATACTTGAATTTTTACATGTATGCTTGGAATATTTTCCCTCACACTGTCATCCACAGTGTGTGTGTGTGTGTGTGTGTGTGTGTGTGTGAGGTGGGTGTGTGTGTGTGGGTGTGCCTGTATATGTGTGTTTGTAAAAAGTTACGCCGATAGGAAAGGGTATAAAGAAAGTATTAAAAAAAAATAACTCTACTAGATAAACAACCAACCAAAAAACACACAAACCCGAATTTAACAAAAGCTTACAATCAAATATTTTAAAGACCAAAAAAACGCACACACTCTAAGTTGTCTTGTAGTAGTTAGACGCTCCGCTGCCGGTCGAAAGGACTTGAGTTAGAATCCACGTAGGGGCGATGTGAGAAAAACGTTGACTTTGGCTCCCAAGTCGACCTAGACTGTTTTTTGTTTGTTTTAGTATCCAGAAGCCATGAGTTACTAACCCTTAGGCTCGGTATTATGGATATCGCAATCTTTCGGTCTTGATTCCATTGTAAATACCGTAAATCTGGAAGAAATGTGGCTTTTCTGCCTACCCCTGGGAGTGAACCCAGACCACAAGGAGTTCGTCACTGTCACAGCGCAATCTGGTTTAGCCAACTAGGCTAGAGAGCCGGCATCGACCCAGGCTAAAAAAAGGGTAAGAGAAAATTTTATGTGAAGTAAGTGTGATTTGACTACTTTACCCACCAAGTGCCAAATGATCTATACAAATAAGTGCTCTAGCATCGCATGCTCCATTCGCCACTGATTTACACATTCCCCTCTAACAAGCACGTTATAAAACGTGAATCATTACGGGTGTTTCCCTGAAGTCGGGGTGCTTCTTTCTGGGAGGCGGAGAACCAAGAGTCTGCATAAGTATAAGCCAGAACTGTAAACCTGGCGTGCATCCAAAACGGGTTCTGCAACGCAACCAAAGTGCAGACGTGAATGCACAACCAAAACTTTAAGTTGGAGTTGACAGACGGTAGACGCTAAGAAGACGAACAAGGTCCTTTAAATACTTACTAAGTTGTATTTTATAGTATAGTTGAGGCTGTCAGACAGGGAAAGCTAACAGAATTAGCTTACGGGAGTCTAAATTACAAAGTTGTATTCTATTGTACAGTTGAGGCTGTCAGACAAGGAAAGCTTGCGAAAGTCTCAATTACAAAGTTGTATTTTTCTGTATAGTTGAGGCTGTCAGACAAGGAAAGCTTGCGAAAGTCTAAATTACAAAGTTGTATTTTTCTGTATAGTTGAGGCTGTCAGACAAGGAAAGCTTGCGAAAGTCTAAATTACAAAGTTGTATTTTACTGTATAGTTGAGGCTGTCAGACAGGGAAAGCTTACGGAAGTCTAAATTACAAAGTTGTATTCTATTGTATAGTTGAGGCTGTCAGACAAGGAAAGCTTACGGAAGTCTAAATTACTATGTTGTATTCTACTATATAGTTCAGACTGTCAGACAAGGAAAGCTTACGGAAGTCTAAATTACTATGTTGTATTCTATTATATAGTTCAGACTGTCAGACAGGGAAAGCTTACGGAAGTCTAAATTACTATGTTGTATTCTATTGTATAGTTGAGGCTGTCAGACAGGGAAAGCTTACGGAAGTCTAAATTACTATGTTGTATTCTATTGTATAGTTGAGGCTGTCAGACAAGGAAAGCTTACGGAAGTCTAAATTACTATGTTGTATTTTATTATATAGTTCAGGCTGTCAGACAAGGAAAGCTTACGGAAGTCTAAATTACTATGTTGTATTCTACTATATAGTTCAGACTGTCAGACAGGGAAAGCTTACGGAAGTCTAAATTACTATGTTGTATTCTATTGTATAGTTTAGACTGTCAGACAAGGAAAGCTTACGGAAGTCTAAATTACTATGTTGTATTCTATTGTATAGTTGAGGCTGTCAGACAGGGAAAGCTTACGGAAGTCTAAATTACTATGTTGTATTCTATTGTATAGTTGAGGCTGTCAGACAAGGAAAGCTTACGGAAGTCTAAATTACTATGTTGTATTCTATTATATAGTTCAGGCTGTCAGACAAGGAAAGCTTACGGAAGTCTAAATTACTATGTTGTATTCTACTATATAGTTCAGACTGTCAGACAGGGAAAGCTTACGGAAGTCTAAATTACTATGTTGTATTCTATTATATAGTTCAGTCTGTCAGAGAAGGAAAGCTTGCGGAAGTCTAAATTACTATGTTGTATTCTATTGTATAGTTCAGACTGTCAGACAAGGAAAGCTTACGGAAGTCTAAATTACTATGTTGTATTCTTTTCTACAGTTGAGGCTGTCAGACAAGGAAAGCTGACAGAAGAAGTTGTGCGTGAGAGAGTAAGGCCGCTGTTTTATACCAGAATGAGACTAGGAGAGTTTGACCCACCAGACAACAACCCTTACGCACAGCTGAACAACAGTGTGGTCGAGTCGCCAGCGCACATTTCCCTGGCTGTGGAAGCTGCTACTAAAACTTTTGTACTTCTCAAGAACCAAAATAACATCCTACCGCTCAAACAGGGAGCCTACAAAAACATTGCGGTGAGTAATCGAATATTTATAATTAGCTTTGTCAGCATTATTAATTTCATTGCAATAACGCCGGATGCTAATGCGAAGGCGATACTAATACTACTACTTCTGCTACTACTACTACTACTATACTGCTGCTGCTGCTTTTACTACTATCACAACTGCAACTGCTGCAGCTTTTACTATAACTACTACTACTACTACTACTACTACTACTACTACTACTACTACTACAACCACCCTCACCACCATCACCACTACTACTTCTACCCCCAACTAATACTTTTACTGCTACGATTACTACTACTTCTACTGCTGCTGCTGCTTTTACTACTACCACTGCTTTTACTACTAACACTGCTACTGCTGTTATAACTACTACTACCACCACCACCACCACCTTTATTGCGACTGGCGCTGCTGCTACTACTACTACTATTACTATTACTACTACCACTGAGACTACTAATACTACTGCGGCTGCTGCTGTTACTACTACTTCTACTGCTATTACTACTACCATTGAAACTACTATTGCTACTGCTGCTACTAATACTACTACTACTATGCAGAGGTCGGAACTCGAGTCGTGAAATTAACGACTTGCAACTCGACTTGGGGTTTCGTCCAGCGACTTGGGACTCGATGTGCCACTTGTAGCTTCGACGGCTTGGTACGTCTCGCTCTTCGTGGTTGGCCAGTGTGGTGGAAGTCTGTTGATCGTCACAATTTCAGTCGTCTTCACGTAACATGGGACATAATAAATTATGTCTTGATTAGTCGAGCTTGCATGGTGGATTTCCTCCCCTTTTTTATACATATAATTCAAGTGAGTTTTTTGGCACTGCAAATTCCCGTTGCTGTTTTTTTATTTGTTTAATCAACATTTTAAATATGGCAGCAGTTTTGGATTTTGGTTATGACCATGTTGAGAAGAAATTGGACAAAACGAGATGTACACGGTGCAAGTTTTGCAAACCAGTTAAGGCAGACGGTTATCAATAACATCACATATTTTTTTCAGCGCCTCGAAACATATACGACAGACTGATACAAGATTTACCGAAAAACAAATATGAAATACGTCTACTATTGAAATGGTAGAATAAAAAAAAAATTTAACAACTGTTGGTATTTTTTTTTTTTCAAATTTATTGAAATAACAGCACCTTCAATATGCAGTTGTATATATTTAATTCAGCTAGTTATATAACAACAACAACAACAACAAACAATTGTTGGTTGTTGTTTTTGTATTAAAACAAACTAACTGTTGCAGTGATTCTTCCTACTGCAGCGACCCATTAATACAGTTCCTCGTGCATATTGTGGTAAACCCTCTTCCACTACCCCATCCCACCCCTCACACCCCCCCCCCCCCCCTAACATAAAATTATTTTTGTTGCTACTTCTTAACTTCAGTTAATATGTGTTTTCCCATGGTCACAGGCGACCCTGTGAAAGGGTGGTTCGACTACCACAGGGATCGAGACTCACAGGTTGAGAACCGCTAAACTAGTGTAGTGCACAAGCATTGTCCCATGCACGACTTACAAATGACTCGGTAAAAAATAGATCTGTCTTCGGTCTCGACTTGAAAGCATTTTAGTGACTTCAGACTTGACCTAGGACCTGGTGGCAATGACTTGGGACCTGGTGACAATGACTTGGGACCTGGTGGTAATGAGTTGGGACCTGGTGGCAATGACTTGGGACCTGGTGGCAATGAGTTGGGACCTGGTGGTAATGACTTGGGACCTTGTGTCAATGACTTGGGACCTGGTGGCAATGTCTACGGACCTGGTGGCAATGACTTGGGACCTTGTAGCAATGACTTGGGACCTGTTGTCAATGACTTGGGACCTGGTGGCAATGACTTGGGAACTTGTGTCAATGACTTGGGACCTGTTGTCAATGACTTGGGACCTGGTGGCAATGACTTGGGACCTTGTAGCAATGACTTGGGACCTGTTGTCAATGACTTGGGACCTGGTGGCAATGACTTGGGAACTTGTGTCAATGACTTGGGACCTGGTGGCAATGACTTGGGACCTGGTGTCAATGACTTGGGACCTGGTGTCAATGACTTGGCACCTGGTGGCAATGACTTGGGACCTGTTGTCAATGACTTGGGACCTGGTGGCAATGACTTGGGAACTTGTGTCAATGACTTGGGACCTGGTGTCAATGACTTGGGACCTTGTGTCAATGACTTGGGACCTGTTGTCAATTACTTGGGACCTGGTGGCAATGACTTGGGACCTGGTGTCAATGACTTGGGACCTGGTGGCAATGACTTGGGACCTGGTGTCAATGACTTGGGACCTGGTGTCAATGACTTGGGACCTGGTGTCAATGACTTGGGACCTGGTGGCAATGACTTATGACTTGGGACCTGGTGGTAATGACTTGGGACCTGGTGGCAATGACTTGGGACCTGGTGTCAATGACTTAGGACCTGGTGGCAATGACTTGGGACCTGGTGGTAATGACTTGGGACCTGGTGGCAATGACTTGGGACCTGGTGGCAATGACTCGGGACCTGGTGTCAATGACTTAGGACCTGGTGGCAATGACTTGGGACCTGGTGGTAATGACTTGGGACCTGGTGGTAATAACTTGGGACCTGGTGGCAATGACTCGGGACTCGACATAGACTTGAATGGTGACGACTTTGACCAGAATAATCATACCATGTTCAAATGTAGGTCATCGGCCCTTACGCCGACAACAACGACCTGCTCTTCGGTGACTACCGGGCTCAGCAGGATAGAAGCTTCACCAAGACCCCTCTCCAGGCACTACAAGAGCTCTACCCGTCGGTCAAGCATGCCCAAGGATGTAACGACAGCACTCCTTGCCTAAGCTACTCCTCAAGTGTGACGCAGGGTGTGGTCGTTGGGGTAGATCTAGTGTTTGTGTTGCTGGGGACAGGTAAGTGGCTCGATCTGGCTGGTTTCCTCAGAAAAAAAGAAATCACTGGGGAGCTCAGCCCTGTCATAATCTTCTAGCGGGGGAGGGGGAACCCTAACGGATCTTGTTTATGTACATAATAATAGTAGTTATAATAAGTATAAGTAGTAGTAGTAGCAGCTGCAGCAGTTACTGCTGCAGTAATAGAAGTAATCGTTGAAATAGTGGGAGTGGTAGGGGCAGGGTCAGATTAGGACTCGTAAATGCCATAAGCGCTGAAACAATTTTGGTGGCCCGCCCACAACCCCATACAAACCCCCCAGAACTTAAAGATTGTGCTCCCCCCCCCCGCCCCACCCACCCCCCTTCCTCATTCGTCTCAACAGCATTATGTGCAAGTGGGACAAACTGTGGCACCTACCACAGCCACTCACAGGTATGACACAAAAAGGGTCACTCGACATACACAGATTAGCATGGTGCCCCTACGCCTGTGAGGCCCCCCAGTAAGTGCCAAGCGAGTCCATGTGCGATGTTGAGAAGGCACTGGTGCCCCCATATATTTATAACTCAAAATATGAACAATAATAAACAATAAGGTAAAATTCGATTTATCGACTTTAAACTAAATATACAGCAAGATGGAAAATAATCTTTATTGTTGTATACTTCCACTTTATTTATACTTGAATAGTTTTCTCCTACATTTTTTTAATGCAAAGCCTTTGATCAGATCGTCAAACTAATCTTATATAACATATCTGCTTATATAATTACAGATATAAAGCATTTAACCTGCCTTGTTGCATTGTTGTTCTGAGGTTGTTTTTTTTTTTTTTTATAAAGTATACTTCAGGCAATAAAATAAACGTTCAGCTCCAAGGCTGTTGAAACTTTCTGTGGTGCCTCCTCCCTTTGTGATGCTGTAAGCACGTGCTTAGTGTGCTCAGTTGTTAACACTGGTTTTACCAGGGGCCCATAAGAATGTTAAGACAGCTCTTGATGTGGGGGGGGGGGGGCGTGGAGGGGTACCAATATCCTTAAATTGCTTAGCGCATCAAAGGATCTTCAACCGACAGTGCTCTTTATAAGACAGTATAAAATTCTCGTTTGCAAAAACGGAAAGATGCCATTCAGAGAGGGTCGTAGTCATGTTCAGTAGAGCAAGCTCCAGGCAAGGCATTCAAAGATCGGCAGTTGTTATTTTTTGTTACATGTAACTTGTTTATAAAATACACTGGCGTGAACATTTGTGTGTATTTCATTATATACTTTAAATACATCCTCCAATTTTTCCCGCCACCTACATGTTTGATGTAATTGGTACATGTGTCGGTAAGAGAACCCACCACCTAAATGTTTGATGTAATTGGTACACGTGTGGGTAAGAGAACCCGCCACCTACATGTTTGATGTAACTTGTACACGTGTCGGAAAGAGAACCCACCACCTACATGTTTGATGTAACTGGTACACGTGTCGGAAAGAGAACCTGTCACCTACATGTTTAATGTAATTGGTACACGTGTCAGGAAGAGAGCCCGCCACCTATATGTTTGATGTAATTGTACACGTGTCGGTGTCTGTGGCTTAGGCATAGCGAAGGTACACTTATTTATGTGATGACGAGTTCGATCCTAGCTGCAGGCTATTTGGCAGCAGAACACGTTGCATTTTTTTAACAGCTGTATCGTGGGCCGGCTGTTCAGTTCAAGTGCCAAAATACTGAACATACAATTATCTAATGAAATCACAGAGAGCCCCAAAAATGCAGTGGTTTTTTTTTTAAAGGTCCTGTAAAGTACGTTAACTAACTTCTTCTTGTAGTAAATTTAAATATAACGAACTGTTGGGCATTTAGTGCTAAACATATAGTGAATAGACCAATCGTCAATCGGTCAACATTACTCCCATTGCCTTTACTTCCCATGACTTTACCTAGTACCCATTTAAGACTGGGTCTACCTGGGAGCCAAATTCATTTTTGTAGTACATGTAACTAGCCTAATGTTGCTATTCCATTGACTAAGTAATCTAAAGGATTGTCAATCTTCCAAACCTGCAGGTATACCCATAGAACGAGAAGGCATAGACAGAGACTCCCTGGAACTACCCGGGCAGCAGAAGAAGCTGCTAGAGGATGTTATAAACTTCAGTAAGTACATTTCTGGACCGATAGACGCAGGCAACTTGTATTTATTTGGCTGCTCTCTTCAGTCCCAAACATCGTCAATTGTGACTTGTTACTTGTTACATTTGGTCTGACTATATAACGAGTTTTGTCTTCCATAGTGGCCACTTGAACAATTTAAATTTATTATAGATGACCCCCCTGTGGGTTCCGGGGCCCTGTTATGGGGAAAACAAGAACAGACCCACTGCCTACCGAAAAGCATGTCGTAAGAGTAAACTAATTGGGAGCTTCCTTCGAAGTCGAAGTGCATCTGCCTGAGAGGCAAGGAACCAACAGTCTGCACACAGATGTGTCAGATCTGTCAAACGGATGTGACACGCAACACTCAGGTTCTGGAACAGGGCTGCAGTTCAGAAGTGGACGAACAACCAGAATTTTCCTGCCACCAGAGTTTACAGCTGGTGAACGCAAAGAAGAAGAAGATAAAGAGGATGTTTCATGGGATTGTTTCTCTTCTTCTTCATCTATCAGTGACTACTACATGTCCGTTTATTACTGATTAGTGAAGTATGTCTACCACTGACCCCTACATGTCTGTCTCCCTCTGACCCCTACATATCTGTCTCCCACTGACCCCTACATGTCCACCTTCCACTAACCGGTACATGTCCACCTTTCACAGACCATTACATGGCCACCTACCAGTGTCTATATCCCACTGACCGTTGCATGTCTATCTCCCAATGACCGTTACATGTCTATACCCCAATGACCATTGCATGTCTTAATCCAGCTGACCATTACATGTCCACCTACCACAGAAAGTTAAATGTCTTTTTTCTTCTATTTTCATTGCATGTCTATCTCCCACTGACCATGTCATGTATATATGATCATTACATGTTTATATCTACTGACCATTACATGCTTATATCTCACTGACCTTGTCATGTATTTTTCTCACTGACCATTGCATGTCTATATTCCACTGACCATTGCATGTCTATATACCACTGACCAGGTTTGAGGTTTGAACAACGGACTAGTATCATGGCTCCATTCTTCTTCTAACTCAAGTATGAGTCAGAAGAAGCTCAGCACAGTGCACAGACTCTGTAGCACCGGCGAGAATCCTGAAATACTTTGGGTATATTTTTAACTCCAAATTTTGCCCGGGTAGCGCCATTAGGCTTCTCTTGTTGATTTCCAACTGCCAAGAGATTTTTTACGTGCGCAACAATGCACACGGGCGTCAGATCGCACTAGCCAGAGACCAGGGGGGGGGGGAGGAAATCCCAGCCCTTACCGAGGATTGAACCCAGAACCTCTAGCACTCGAGGCGGACACCATGCCCCGAGACTACTCAGCCCCCTATCCCACTGACCATTACATGTCTATATCCCACTGACCATTAAATGTCTATATCCCACTGACCGTTACATGTCTGTATCCAACTAACCATTTCATGTCTTATCCCAAGGACCATTACATGTCTACATTCCACTGACCATGACATGTCCACCTACCACTGACCATTATATGTCAATATCCCACTGACCATTACATGTTCCACTGACCGTTAAATGTCTATCTCCTCTGACCTTTGCATGTCCTTTTTCCACTGACAGATGCATGCCCATCCCCCACTGACCATTGGATGTTTTTCACACAGACAGCCAAGCCAAGATCGTTCTCCTGCTCTTCAACGCTGGACCTCTCAATGTGTCATTCGTGGACGAATCAGACCGCGTGGACGCCATCTTGGCCTGCTTTCTTCCGGGTCAAGCAACAGGTGAGGCGCTGGTCAAGGTTCTCACAAATTCTGATGGAAAATCATCTCCGGCTGGAAGATTGTCGGTCACCTGGCCAAAATATGAGTCACAGGTAAAGTGCCTGTTTGGTCTTTGTATAATGTTCAGTTTAACCCACTCCCTTCCAGTTATTGTGTTAACTACTTCTGCTTTAATATCGTTATATTTTCAATCCTCACGTCCAGCCATTGGTTGCTTAAAGTAACTTTTCATAACAGAAGAAGCTAAAGTAACACATAAGCTGTTCCCCGTGTGGGTTCCGGGGCCCTATTATAGGGAAAACAAGAATAGACCCACTGCCTACCCAGAAGCATGTCGTAAGAGCCGACTAATTAGGAGCTTCCTTCGAAGTCGGAATGCATCTGCCTGAGAGGCAGGAAACCAGCAATCTGCATACAAATGAGTCAGACCTGTAAAACGGATGCACGCGCAACACTCAGGTTCTGGAACAGAGCTGCAGTCTAGAAGTGGGCGAATAACCAGAACTGTCCACCAGAGTTACAGCTGGTGAACGCGAAGAAGAAGAAGACATAAGCTATATTACAGACATTACCGATTCATGGGATCTAGTATTATCACAGATGAAGTTGCTGCTTATTAGTTCTTCACATGAGTGATCATCCCGCAGATGTAAAAATCCTTGCCAGCTAACTATGCTCATGTTCTCCAAGATACACTGATTATAATGTCTCCAATCTTGACCATAACTGGAAGAAGTCTTAAGACTAGAAGTGTACAAACAACCAAAACTTGCTGCTGGGGTCTAAAGCCGGTACAACGATAGGAAAAAGAAAAAGAAAAACACAGAACTGCAACACTTTCTATTCTGTAACCAAGCTTGTGGTTCAATCAGCAATCCATGGGTTCCATGTTGACTCCATGAAACGTTTCAGAAAATTGCATCTTGTAGTATGCCCTATGAAGGAGTAGAAAGCGTTCAGAAGTCGCACTTAACTCCCTCACCTGGATCTACACAGCGGAGCAGGCCAGAGTAAAAGGCTTAGAACAAGCTGACGAGTACTGCACTAGTGCATGCGAGAAAACATGAAGGAGCTGATATTATCAACGATGTACGGATTAAGGTGGCAGATAATGATAAACCTGTGATGCTGAAGCGATTTCTTGAATTGTAGAAGAGCGCGATGAAGCAGGTATAATGCTTTGAGGCCAAAATAGAAGACATTATAACTTTCTATGGGTAAAATCAGTTTAAGTACCTTGGTGTGGTTGTTGTATCTGAGGACTGGGCACGCGTGGGACTGTGCAGTCTGCAGTGAGTCACTGTGTTAGCATAACATAACATGTTCACGAACGTACCCCCTCTCCGTTGCCCTAAGTTGCGAATTAATCAAGCAACAGAAAGTGTATCCCTAAGTTGTGGGATGTTTCTGAGAAGCAACAGTGAGGCTTTTTGATGACCTCGCGGGGCCCGATCTCGTCCAACAGTTGCTTTGTTAAATTTAGCATTGCCTGCTAATTGGTTGTCCCTACTTTTGTTTCCTTTTATCGCACCTTATAGTGTGCAAGTTGTAAGTTTTTTTTTTTTTTTTTTATTTATTCCAATGACATTCGCTCATTCTTCATATTGTAATGTTCAGGTTTTGCTCGTCCTATCCCTATTCTGTCTCTGTCTGTGGCTTAGGCGTTGTGAACGCGCTTTGTAATGCTAGGGTGACGCGTTCGATGACAAATGCGAGCGATTTGACAGCATACCGTCTTGAGCTGATGTCGACACTGGTACCGAGGGCTGACTGTTCAGGGGCAATGGTAAACTACTGAACGTTAAATTTGCCTAGGAAACCCTCAACAGCCACAGAATGATGGGGTTGTTTCTGCAACGTCCTGTAAAGGATACGCAACCAATTTTTTTTGGGTCCCTATTGTAATAATACAATCATCCTACACATAAGAGCTATAATATTCTCCAGGTGCTAATGTATGACTAAATGTCTTTTTTGTTGCCTCGATCCTATAGCTGCAGCCATTCATCAACTATTCCATGGAGGGCAGAACCTACCGCTACTTGAAGACAGAACCTCTCTACCCGTTCGGCTACGGTCTGTCCTACTCCAGTTTCCAGTATGACGGGATGGAACTGGGAGACTTGAGTTCACCCACACAGAACCTCAACGTGTCCCTCAGTGTGACCAACACCGGCAAACTAGACGCTGACGAGGTAAGGGAATAGTTTAATGACGACATGTCTGTTTGGGAACCATGGTAGAAACGGTGCCGCCTGACAGAATTCATTGGGGATGGGATAAGGGCGTTGGGGGCGGGGGCTGAGCCACAGCTGAGCTCCCCCTTTTTTTTTCTAGGAGCGGAAAGGAGTGGGTTAACAGGGCTTAAGCCTTGTTTCAGCGAGCATTAATAATTTTCACTAACATATCTGCTGAATGGCTAATAAATATAATAATATATTTTAAATAATATGAAATATTTCAAGAAATGCCTAATTTAAAAAAGCATGTGTGGGGGGAAAGGGCGAGCGCTCTGCTCCCTAAAGATCGTTGGTGAACTCAGTCACTCTACTAAAAAATTGAGTCGGCTGGGGGGAAGGGGAGGAAAGAGGGCGTGCTTGACGTGCCTGATCTACCAGGTTTCGGTCTGTGTGCGCGATAATGCATTCTTTCTGGAGAAAGGAGACAGTTGTAAGCCGATGAGAAAAACAAGACCAAAACAATCGATGTTTTCTGACATGTTATGATAAGTAAAGCATTTTAGAACTTGGTAATGAGATGTTAGAAAGACAGCTAGTGGAAAGTAGAGAAATAAGTAGCAGGATGTCTTAGCCATATGATGGAGCGAGACAAGAACACTGACCTGATCTCTAATTCTGAAGATTGCCTGGAATGGCGAAACATGATAGCCTACGCTTGTCACTATAGTTAGTGACGATAACGATAATAATGATATTAATGTTAGTACATGTGTGTTCAATTTCCCTCAGGTGATTCAGTGTTACCTGGAGTGGGGGAACCAATCGTTGCCGGTACCACAGAGACAGCTGGTGTACTTCAACCGTGTCCACATTCCTGCTGGTCAGAAAATCCAGCATTCATTTCACATTCTGTGGGACAACTGGGCATTCAGAGACAACGGACAATGGTCAATCCAAGAAGGTGAGTATCCTTGTGTCTTAGGGTTTGGGAAAGCCGGACCCTGCAACAAAGAGTAGCGTGTCGTCATTATGTTTTTTCTGAAGGTTTTTGTCATCGTACTTACTGGAAAGACTGCTGGTCTTTCTCCGATAGGAGGTGGGGAAATTGTTATGCAAGGGTGAGTGTGTGAATTTTAAAAGTTGAATTAAGAATCGACAGCACAGCACTCGGAAGATTCCCATAAGCGTTCCGTCTCCATTTTCAGCAGCAAGCACAGAGTTTCAATTCCGATGACATCATAAACTGTCGGATTAAATATCCTTATCGCCTTTTCCTTGAGTGTTGAGCGTCGGCCAGATCCCCTGGTAACTCCACGCAGTGCCATTCTCCTCAGACCATAATGATGTTTGTGCTCCGCTCTGTTCATTTACTCCCAGAGGGCCCTCACAACTTTTAGATTGTCGTACATCAATTCACCGCCAAGTAGTGCAGAACCTGTTAGTCCATCTGCCTGCGTGTTTCCACACCAGCATGACTCGGAGAACAAATCCAAAGGACATCAAATACCCGGAACCTCTGAAGTGATGCTTGCCACTCTGCACGGAACATGCCTGTCTTTACCTTTCTCAACACGCATTTAACGTGTGTGCGAGTAAATAGTTAGATAAAATGCTGGACGGAATTTTTTACTAAGGAATATTAGATCGGTAGGTGGATGTGTAGGTGGGTGAGGTCCAGGGATGGTGATTAAAGTGAATTAAAGGATATATTTGAAGAAGACTCACAGAGGTTACTCATATAACAGGTATACATTTTCGTAGGACAGCAAAAGACGTTTTTAAAAGCAAAGCAGTGTCCCCTAACCCCTTTCCTGCAACCCCCCCCCCCAACCCCCTTTTGCCCCCAATAAAATCTCATATATATATATATATATATATATATATATATATATATATATATATATATATATATATATATATATATTTAAATACCTTAGTCGTCGATTAGTTCTGCACATGCGTTTGCAACCTAATATATCTGCTTTATTTTCCAGGCTCTATGACGCTATTCTGCGGGGGCCAACAACCGGGACAGAAGAGAAAGATCCCATCATCCAACGTCGTGTCTCTGCCATTCATCATCCCCAGCTCTACACGTCTTGCTGTCTTGTAAGACAGTCTTAACCGTCCTATAAGACTGTTTCGTTGTCTTGTAAGACAGTTTCAGCTGTTTCAAAAATCAAATTTTTCATGCACTTCCACAAAAATCAGTACAATTTAAATACTTAAAAATATACAATACTGTGATTGAATTCGGTCTTTACTGTGATATAAATATGTGTGCCACCGGGACATGAATGATACAGGCAGTGAGGTGGATTCAATGGAACAGGAAGCTGGAGATCATATTGCGTGGACAGAGGTGATTCAGGATAGGAATTGGGATAAAGCAGCAAATGATTGCAAATAGGTTCAGAGCTGAGTGCCTGAGAGAAAGCAGGTTAAATTCAGGCGATGGCAACTTTTCATATGCTCTAATTTGTAAGAGTTTTCTGAATGCGATCGAGTCTTGCTAGTCACACTCGCCTGTGCCATAGTCTTTGATTTCACGCCTCGCTATGGCATAACAATATCGTCTGGAAAGATGGAAAACAGTCGGCCATTATTGTGACTCAATTATAATGTAACTAGAATAAACTTGTTTTCTACAGATTATTTCTATTCAGATAATGATTATTTTGTTTCCCCTTTCGTGTGATTATTGTTTTTTAAAACTGATTTATGTAATAAACCTATGTGAAATACGTCTAGACTTGATGAGTATGGGTAAATTTGTAAACGCACGTCTTGTCTTGGCTATAAATACTGTGAATTATTTAATAATGTTTCGTGTCACGTGGTTGAGGGGTGTCATCACAAATTAATACCATGAATGGGTCAAGTACAAAGCAATTGATGTCACTTGTGGGACAGGATTTCAAAAACAAAGCAAAATAAAAAAGTGAATATCACAGTATGTGTATATCTTCTTCTTCTTCTGCCTTTCTATCCCCCAATGGAACATAGGCCCTCAACCAACTCACGCCAAGTCGTTCTATCCTTCGCCATTACATGGAGCTCTCCCCATGTCCTCCCAATCTTTCTAACCTCATTCTCCAGCTCTCTTCTCCATGTGTTTTTTGGCCTTCCTTTATTCCTATGCCCCTGTGGGTTCCAATGCAAAGACATTCTAGTTATGCTGTTCTCCTGTTTTCTCAGTGTGTGCCCTATCCAACGTCAGCGTCTTTTCCTCACCTCCTGATCCACTGGAGCCTGTTTAGTTCTCTCCCAAAGTTCTACATTAGTTATTCTATCATACCATTTTATTCCCTCTATTCTGCGCAAGCACCAGTTAATGAATGTCTGTAATTTATTAGTAATTGCCTTGGTTGTTCTCCATGTTTCCGCCCCATACAATAGTACTGATTTGACATTAGAATTAAAAAAATTTAGTTTAGTATTTCTTTTAATTTCTTTTGACCTCCACAAATTCCCTAGTGCTATGAAAGCCCCTCTTGCCTTTTGTATTCTTATATGTGTATATAGTTTTATTTTAATACACGTAAGCAAACGTTTCCACCAACCTTTTTTTCTCTTCTGAATTCAACTACCAACTATACTTAACAAAAATTTTAATCAATAAAGAGCATACACGTGACAGAAAATAAAATTTAAAAAAAAAATTAAAAAAAACGAGCTGATATGTGCTGTTAAAGGTTATGGGTTGTGGAGAGACATAATTGCCTACGCCATTCGGTGAAGAATTTGATGATGATGATGATTTTCGGCTAACCTCATCATTATCATGGACAGACATTCCTACTGCTATTGGAACCATCAGATTTGGACACTTCTCTACCTGCTGAAGACGGGAACGCAGCGCTTATGGAAATGTACCGAGTACTGTGACGTCGGTTATTAAACCTAACTTCTGTACTGATTTGATCAGTTTCTTCTTCTGCATTTACCATTAGAATGTCACATTATAGCTTGCAGCAAGGCTGCGATATCTGCGCCTTTTGGCTCAGCATGTCCGACTTCAATATACCCCTAAATAGTTGCCTCTTACGATAAATGACAGTGTGTATGTGTTTGCGCACTCACGCGTGCGTGCGTGTGTGATTTGTATTCTGATAGTCACCCGAAGCTAATCAAACACAGATTCAGTACAGATGTGTTTAAACATACCTCTATTGAAAACGTAAAAATTATTTTTAAAAAAAAAAACGTCTACCAAAACATTGACAGCTGAGCATATTAACATCCAGAAAAGAGATCAAACACAGAACTACACGGCCGACAGGTTAGTTAAATTGGTAAATCTCGATCTAAAAGTCGCACCCATCTTGTAAAATCTCTAACTCAGTAACTGTTCAGTGTAAATTCTTGACATTTCGTACGTAACGAAGAGCCTTAAAAGTCTATGGTTAAGCACAAGCAAGGAGATCAAAATTAGAATTTTGAGAGCATGCATCTTCCCTGTGGTTCACTGCAGATGTGAGTCGTGGACTATCTCTCAGTCCTTAAGAAAGAGCATAGGGGCTTCTGGGCTGAAATGCTATAGAAAGATTCTCAGAATATCTTGGACAAAGAAGAGGAGAAATACTGACATCTTGAAAGATCTGAGCATCAAGGAAGATTGGCTAATTAACAATACCCTGTCTCGGAAGCTGAAATATGTTGATCATATCAAGCGCCACGACGGATTGGAAAAAATTGTAGAAGAAGGCACGGTACCAGAAAGGAGGGGCAGGGACCGACCGACACGAAGATGGGAACAGTATATAAGTGACTCCATGAGTATGAAAGTACATGCAGCGGGAGAACTGGCAAGAGACCGAGTTTCTTTCAGGCAGACTGTGAAGAGAGCGACGTTCTGCAAAGGACCTGCTACATGACAACGGAAAGGGGAGGGGATGTGGATTTACACGAATTATTAGTCCCAAAAAGATCAAATAAATTCGCCGCTGTAATCGAACAGCAGCACCTGTGCAATTGTAACTCATCTTCTTTGAATCCTCATGTGCTAGGTATGGACCTGAAGTTTTATGTGACACCCCCGACAAACTAGATGAGAGATTATATTTAAAAAAAAAAGAGATTACCGCCCTTGCCTGCACGTCACGCCTGGCTGGTGTAGTTGTTACCGGTGCCAATGGGCGTGGCCAGATCGGATGGTAACCGTTGCGGAAAATTTCCTTGCACCTCACCAGGACATCACACAAGCGATAAACACCGGGTGACACAAAGTGCCACCATGCGGATGAGGATCACCCGTGGAGAGGTCCCAGAAACCCCTTTCAGTCGTTAAGGCCATTTTTATGGCTAGGCCATATATATGGCCCGGCTATATTCAGGGCCCCCAGCAAAAGCCAGGGTGGGACTTCAAACAAAAAATTGCATCCCACGAGGGGACGACAACTTAAATAAGGGAAAATGTTACGTCAGAATAGCTTTAACCGTCAGATGGTTGTCACGGATATTGTATGGGTGAAAAGAAAGTGTGAAAAGAAGAAGAATGTAAAAGAGGAGTAAATATCAAGTAGTCTGTATATTATATCTCTGTAATCTCAGCGTAATGTCTCTTGCCAAGCCATTCGGCTATATATTTGTTTTGTATAAATTCTCATCAAGTAAGCCAGTTTCAGTTATCACTACGTTTACAAATCGTTTTTCTTGTCGTAAAATTAAAGAACAAAAATGCGTTTCCTCCTAGCAAACAAAGGTGCCGGTACTTAAGACAAATAAAGAAGATGTCGATAGTCATCAAAAAATATTAATTACAGGATGCCTGAAAAAGTTGCCACTACTGCGTACCGCCAGAATATAAAAACCCTGATTACAGTATTTCTATATCATTTTTACTCTTAAAAATCTTGTCGAAATATGAGAAACGAGACAGGGGAGGAGAGACAGGAGAAGTATGATGAATCGACACAGATGGCAAGATGTAATAATGCATGATCACATTCGCTTGACTGCACGCACTTGATGGTGATGATGCGGGAGTCAGCATGCTCAACAAAACTGTCGTCCTAGTCAAAGAAAGTTAGGTGTCCGATCGACTACTCCAAGATCAGCTAAGTTTAACAATACAAATTTGCTGTCCGAAAAGTGAATCGAGTCCTTAGGGTGAACCTGACCGTTGTGAGCACATAGTTCATGGTTAGAGATCCTCTTCATCGCACATCGGACATGACCATGTCTCCTCCTGAGTATGTCTTTAAGTGTTTTTAGGCTAACAACTTCCATTCTGTTCTGGCTGATCTAACGACGTGTGGCTTTTACTGTCTCGCGTCTTCAGCTGGTACACCCATGGTATGCAGTCTACTGAGTTTGGTCCCTCGTATGGCATTGATGGCGTCTCTCCTCTCTATAAAGCTCCCATTCTTGATAGTAGCACTGCCAGCTAGAGCGTCTGCTCTCTCACTGCCTTTCACACCAGCATAACCTGGGACAAAAATGAAGGTGATTTTGCAAAATGCTGCGTGCTGAATCAGATGGAGCCACTGTTTCTGTATGTACACCGCCTTGATCTTCTTTAGCATGCTCGTTGAGTTGCTGAGCTAGTTTTTATAAGGAGTAGAAAATTATAGGGAAGAGAAAAAGTTGGTAAGAAACAACAATTAGTTTATGTTAGCTTTACAAAATCGATCACAATAAACAAACAAAGGACGTTGCGGCGATTAGCCTTCATCAGCACATAAAGGACAACACAGTACACATACACAAATATGCTCTAACTATGAAGTGACTACATAGGACTCTAATGTATAGAATAAATGATACTCATCTAGTGTCCCTGGCGAAAAAACTTCGTTCAATGAAATGACGGTCAGCCTATATACCTCCAACGCGCAGGTAGGGGCAAAAAAAGGGACGGGTTAGACGCCAACAGCGTACACTGAGTGTCTAAGGAGGGAGGGAGGGGTTGACCTATAGGGCGTAACCGACTGGTGAACTTCTGAGTTTTCAGCCATTTTAGTGCCTTTGCCACAGCCGTAACCACCATTGTCATGCTGCTCATGGTAAAAGCAAAGGCTCCACTGTCTTCTTTAGTGACTTTCCCTTTTATTCTTGCCGTGAAAGCCCATGCACTTCACTTCTCACGAATCACAGAACCATCTGTTTATATAACAGCATCTTCCGATTATGTGTGTTCCCCCATCAATGCTTTGACGTTTGCATCAACTATTAGTGGCGCCAAATTATGGCTCTGTCTTTAATCAGGGTAGTAACCAGAACCACCAAAAAGTGTATCCATTCCTCTTCACGGCTTATGTCGTGAAGCGAATCACCCGTTGAAGTACTGTCTCTGCACGGCCAAACCAAGACTGGTCTTGTCTGTTGTCTTTACGTGTATTTAGTTCATCGTTCAGTAGGTGCGTAAAGTCTTCAGTGATCTGTAAGCACAGATCCACCTAACTCCCTGTTTGTGAGAGATGGGAGCGTTATAACCAGAGCTTTACCTAGCGAGGCGGACGTTGTAACCAGCCCTGAGCCACTCCGCACCTTGTTTGACGATGGTTAACTAAAAAATATGAATTGTTTTGTTTTCCAAAATATCAGGAACAAATTGTAAGTTGTGAGCAGACGCCGGAGGGACGAGGTTATAACGCTACTGTCTCTTGTGTTCATTTCTTTCTTGTGTCCGTTGTTTCACTTCAGGCTACTCACAGATTGATATTCTGTTATAGATAGATGCAAGGATTTATCTTGTTATTAGCAGCAAATTATTGTGTTTGCTTTCTCCAGTTATTTGAGTTATAGTTGAGACGTGATACGTTAAAAGTTAACAGACGGGTTAACGACCGTTGGTGGTGATAGTGGACAACGAGATTTACTCAGTCTCAGTATTCCTGTCTGGACTAGACGATAATTAACTCTTTGAGTCCCAGGGAGTTTAGCATCAGAGGTGGTAATGAATTTTTTTTTTAAATTCCACAAGTGTAACACATTAAAACAAACCATACTAATTCAACTGCCTCGCTTGCTGAGGGATAATATTAATATTAATAATAATGAAATACTCTACAACAGATAATTTGCGTTAGTAATAAATATTAGTAAATAAAAAGACAATATGTTTACAGAAGTTAGTAGAATGAAATTTTTTAAAAAACTCCATTTACCACCATGGCACTCAAGAAAAACTTGTTAAAATATATCCAAAATGAATCACAAATGAACATGAACCACTTAGTAATGTATAAGTAAAATATAAACTCGATCTGTACACTAGATCTTGTTCCAAAGAAACTTTTAGAGCATCATAACAGAGCACCATTATTTGGTAAAGAAAACTGGGCTCTTCTTTCAATACCGGACGCGGGCTGGACGGCTTAGTTCAGTTTAGTGGGAGTTCTCTCCCTTGGCCGCACTGCAAACAGTGATCGGAAAAGTCACGAATCAAATGACATACTTAGCTATCATCATACGGTTGCGTGTAGGGTTGCGTACGTTGCGTGTAGGGTTGCGAAGTCATTGTACGGTTGAGTGAAGGGTTGCGTAGTCATCATGCGGTTGCGTGAAGGGTTGCGTAGTCATCATACTGTTGCGTGTAGGGTTGCCTATCATCATACGGTTGCGTGTAGGGTTGCGTAGGGTTAGGGTTACGGTTAGGGGTAGGGTTAGGGGTTAGGGTTAGGGTTAGATGTGAAAATTTTGACGTTGGAGTTCCAAATACTGGCCGACAATCTGATGTTTGTGGGAGTGGCGCCACTGAAATTCTGCTAAGTATGACGCCAATAGCGCGCGGCTGGTGCCCAATCGTTGGCGAATTGTCCGTTTGACTAGCATCCATAGGCCTTCCATTGTTTGTGTGTGTATGTGATTGTGCGCGACGTCGACGAAGTTGGTCTGGTGGACTACTACCTCGTGCAGATAGATGCCATGCCTCAAGTTTGTGACATTGCTGTAGCCTCGCCAAGCGTCAATTTTCACATCTAACCCTACCCCTAACCCTTACTCCCAACCCTAACCCTATCCCTAACCCTAACCCAAACCCTACGCAACCCTACATGCAACCGTATGATGATAGACACCCTACGCAACCCTACACGCAACCGTATGATGATAGGTAACCATACACGCAGCCGTATGATGACTACGCAACCCTTTACGCAACCATATGATGACTACGCAACCCTACACGCAACCGTATGATGATAGCTAAGTATGTCATTTGATTCGTGACTTTTCCGCTCACTGTTTGCAGTGCGGCCAAGAAAGGGAACTCCCACTAAACTGAACTAAGCCGTCCAGCCCGCGTCCGGTATTGAAAGAAGATTCCAAAACATTTAGTATTTTCACACACAATGAAGTTTACATAACACTCAAGTTGCCTGTAACTTTGTAGATATTTTCCTAAATAATAAAGGGGATTAGCACAAGAACTGACTGACACTGAAGAAAATCACCTTTTCACTAATGTTTATTCTATTTGTGCCAGCTGAGTTTGCTATTGTGTACCCTTCGCATGAGGTACACATTAGACATATCCCTCATCAAAGTTTTACTTTATAATTGACTGTAACAAGTCTACTTTGCAATGTTATCTATCTGACTTCAGATAAATCTAATAAACATGTGCTTTTTTTTAAAATTTGAGACTTCTAAAGCCCTAAATCATGTTGTCATGCATGTAGAATACTGCTCGGCAGCCATATTGTTTTCAGACAAACACTTAGTAACTCGGCAAACCTTGCAAATATACTATATTTTTGGCTTTTTAACCACATTTCCAAATGAGCACTCCTGATTTCAGTCATGGGTTAATTAAAAACCTTCATTGTCACGCTTTGACTGGGCCGCTGGGTTGTAACCAATTAGGATGTGATGCGTTCCCTGGGACTGAAAGAGATAAACCCTTTTCGGTAGTTTTATCTGGGCACCCCCAAGTTTGCATATTAAATTGCAGTCCGGGGATTGCATATGATGATTACCTTAACAAGCGCAGTCCAAAACTCTTATTTTATGGCGCTACGAAAAATAAAAATAATGTTAAAATACATTAGCTTGGACTGCAGCCTTCACTTGGCTAGAGAATCAGCTACACACACATGTGACTGTGACTGACTCGCAAAGCATACTGAGAAAGGTGGAGACTGGTATGCTTTGTGCAGAGTTGGAAAAATCGCTTCATAACTCAAGGGTACTTGGCATCCTTTGGATATTTTCTCCAGGGTATGCAGGGGTGTTAGGAAACAAACAGGCGGACAGACTTGCTGGCTCTGCGCCACTTGGTGGTGAATTTATGCATGACAAGATAGATGTTGTTATGGTTTTTTTGGGACAGAGTGAACAGTGTGGAGGCATGTTTAGATTATCATGGTCTGAAAAGAATGAAGAGGACAGGCAAGATTCACTTACAGTCAGACAGTTATTGATAACACTGGAAGTAGATCTCTTTACTGGTTGTTGAACTTGGAGACGAAGCACTTTTGAAGATTTCCTGAGTGCTATGATGTCAGTTCATAAAACTCAACTTCTTGGACAGTAGTAGTGACCAGTGTAGTACTAGTACTACTGTAGCCATAATGAATGATTGAACTGAATACTGCACCATCAATTAATCATGTTCTCACAGAACAAAACTGAACTAGTTGTTGGTCTGCAGTCAAAGTAAAGCTAGTTAAAGTCAACCAATCGACAGACAAAACAGAAAGTGAAACAGCTTTGCAAGAAAGACAATCAAAACTTACCTTTGTTTTTGTTGAGCCACTTACTGTAAAGTTACTCAAGTTGACCAGTAGAACTAATTTATTCAACATTATCCTGTTCAACCCGTCTGGTTTGTAATTAGGATAAATAGTTTTTTTTTCTTTGTGTCAGCATATGAATTATTTTGGGCTTTTTAATATGGCAGAGCAGTTTCTGTTTCAAGTTGACAGAAGTACCCGTGGTAGTTAACACAGCCATGCAGTCAGTAAACTCAGATTTAGAAACCGACAGTAACAAATTCAGTTTGGTTGGTTGAAAAAAAAAATTTAAGTTAGGTTTTTTTATTTGCTTAATTTTTGTCATTATTATAGCATGCACCTGGCAAGATACAGGGAAATATGCCAGGCAATAAATAATGCACTTTATTGTTTGTGTCTTCTTTGTTCAAAATTTGGTATAAGTGGTTCAGCTCAACGAGCTTTCAGCGCTCACTGACTGATAAGGCTTGAAATCAATTAATAGGAAGGAGAATTTAATTAAAATAACCGTTCTACCACTATAGTACAGGGAAGTCAAAACTGGCGACTCGTTCATCTCAAGACCTCTTCCCCCTAATTTTTAGGAGGGATTGAGGTCCCCAACCCCCCACATACCAAAGGCTGTGATCAGGATATTATTATATAGTTCGGAATAATAATGTAAATAAAATAATTGACCTAATCAGGATTTGAGTATGAAATCATACAGTTTCCCGTAATAAGCCCATATAAACGCATGATGCACCGATTTTAGGTCTCTTTTTACTACCCCTTGGGCCTGTGATGCTAAACACTCTGGGACTCAAAGAGTTAAAATACAGTTCCCAATAATAATATAAATAACCTAATTGACCTAATCAGGATATTAATATACAGTTCGGAGTGATCATATAAATAACATAATTGACATAATAAGCCATATATGACATAGGAAGTAGCAAAAGTCAAAACTGGAAATAATGTGGTTCTGTAAAATGTCCCTGGGTGTTAAAGAAAGATATTATTTATGGTACAGTTACTACTATCATTAATTTTCAATGGATCTGTGAAGCGAACTTTATTGTTCTTTATTTAGTTTGTAGTCTTGTTTTTCTTTATCTGTGAAGAAATTGCACGTGTCAATATTTTATAGGCAGACAACTTTTCTTTTCAACCATGGAGAGGGTAGATGGTCAAACATGTTCATTACCTTGTTTGAAAGACTCCTACAAAGGGCACAGTAGTCAGAGTGTAGTTGTTGAAAATGTTGGCACTACTTATCTGCATGAAGAAGATGGTTCCCTTGCAAACTTGAATGAGATGGTTCAGTCAGCAGGAAGTTTACACACTGAGGGTGAGGTTTGAGTCAGGAATAACAATATCGCACCTATATACATACATGCACACTCACGCACACACACACACAAATTTATATATAATTTCTCTCTCTCTTCTCTCTCTCTCTCTCTCTCTCTCTCTCTCTCTCTCTCTCTCTCTCTCTCTCTCTCTCTCTCTCTCTCTCTCTCTCTCTCTCTCTCTCTTCACTCACAACAGCTTTTTAACCCCCTCTTATTTGTATGCTAACTCTGCCACTTCTGCTTACATCTTCCTTTACTTACCCATCATCATATTCTTCTTCCTCCTCCTCCTTTTGCTTCTACTTCTTCTTCTTTTTCTTCTCTCCTCCTCCTCCTCCTTTTTTTTCTTCAGTCTAATAAGAGATATAAAAATGAAATGAAATATTAAAAGATAGTTAGATTAGAGTCTAATGCTAGACAGCCCTGCATACCCAATTCCTTACTCTTTGAATAGAAACACCATTTATATTTCATGGAATTATTCAACACATTCACAGGCGTCGATGCCCTTACAAGCATTTTGTAAAAGACAACTAATAGGGCGTTTCCTTCAAAGCCGAAGCGCATTATTCTGAGAAGTGAGGAACTAACAGTCTGCATGCACACAAGCCAGAGCTATAAAATAGATATTTACATGCAAAGGTCATGTTTTGGAGAGGAAAAAAAACGATCTGTCTAATTAATGTACATGCTGAGTTCAAGTTTTGGAAACAAGATCAAAGTCCAGAAGTGGATGAACAGTCAGAACTTTTTGCCAGAATTTACAGCAGGTGAACCTAAGAGAAGAAAAAGAAGACTTCATACAGAGTATTTCTCATTGTCTTTGCTGTTTAATGTTTGCACTTAGTTGTCTTATATAGCAAAACTCACTCTCTCAATAAAATCCTTTGCTAACATTGTCTCCCTGCAGAGTCCGATACCACTATAACTTCTGAGCAACAGAACCATGTCACAGCTTTAACGGATTCCAGTTTACCAAGCCTGGTTAATGACAAGTCAGACAAAAGCACCATTTTTGTTGGAAATCTGCCCAACAGGGTTTGTGATCTTTTCTTTATAATGTCTCATCAGATTGAATATGTGTAATAAATAAACAGTGTATTGATTGACACTCATAGAAAGAAGCAGACAGATAGAAGGACATTTTTTATTGTCAGATTGAAGACTGTTCTTGGTAAAATTTTGTTCTCCTCTAGGATGTTATTCTGTAGGATTAGCACTACAAGGATGAAAATCAATCAGGTACAAATTTCAGAAACTCTTCTCAGCTGTATGAATTGCTTCGCACTCATAGAGGCAAAAGAAATAAATAATGACAAGAGGACACAGTAGACTGCCAGTGTGGGTTCCGGGGCCCCGTTGTGGGGAAGACAAGAATAGACCCACTGCCTCTCCAACAAGCGTGCTTCCTTTCAAGTTGGAATACATTTGCTCGAGCAGCAACGAACAACCAACTGCACACAAATAAGCTAGTTAAACCGATGTACAATAAAAACTCAGGCCCTGGAGCAAAGCCAAAGTCCAAATGGACAAACAACCAGGACTTTCTGCCAGAGCGTACACACGGTGAACAAAGAAGAAGAAATAGATACAGCAGTCAACATAACAATTTAAAAGCTACACACCAAAAATTGAACCAGTCATCTGCAGATGATTAAGAAGTGACTAGTTGGCTGCACATTGAAGTATGCTTGTTCCAGCAGCAGGGCACCATTGTCACCTGGAGGTGAAAGGTTTCCCTGGTGTGGCAGTTATATCTTTCCAAACAATTGCACTACCATGGCTCTCTCTAAAATAGGATGGTTTACCTAAAATATGTAGAAAATGCAGTATAGAAGTAATGAGTTACTGTTCTTTCCACAGTGGTCGCATTTTGGTGTCTACATTTTCTGTCCAGTCTGTTGCAAAACTGGAAAGAAAGTTTAATGCTTATGTATTTTTTATGGCTACTTCTTTCTTTTCTAGACGATCCGGTGGCAAGAATTAAAAGCTTTCTTCAGCAAATTCGGACATGTTAAATATGCCAAAATTGTCAAGGACCTCACCACTAAGAGGTCAAAACGGTATGGCTGAAACAATTTATTTTTATGCAGATTTATCCATGATTATTTATTTTTGTTTGTGTGTGTGTGTGTGTGTTTGGCTAAAAGCCAGAGTTAATATTTGAATATGTGTATTCCCCATGTGGTGTCTGTTCTCGTTTTCACCACAATGGGGCCCCTAGCACCCACACAGATAATAAGACAGTTAATAATAACTATTAAGTTAAAAAAAAAGAATTCTTGCCTGCTACATTCATCCAGTTTTAACATATGGCTGTGAATCTTGGACAGTCAGTAGGCAGACCAAACAATTTCTTAGGATCTCAGAGATGTGGTTTTACAGAATAATGCTTAAAATACACTGGACAGCCAAAAAGAGCAACCAAGAGATTTTGAAAGAGGCGGGAGCCCAAAGACAACTTATCACAGACATCAGAAGGAGACAGTCATCATTTTTCTGCCATGTTATGAGAAGAGGGAAAATGGAACATGTTGTGACCACTGGAAAGATCTGTGGAAGGAGGGACAGAGGAAGACTACGAGATAAAATTCTTGACAGTCTTGTTGCATGGCATGAAGGTGTGTCGGCACACGAACTGTTACATGCTGCAGGAGATTGCAGATTGTGGAAAGGCATGATCGCCCACGCCAGTCGACAAGCACGTGATAATGATGAATACTAACCACTCCAGTGACAGTGCATATGTCTCTCAGAACAACCATAACCATCTTATGGGCACCAGCACACCTAGGGGCCTTAACATCATCACAGTTTTATAATCTTTGAGTTATGACCCTTGTCACTTACGGCTTTTTCTGGCCAGTATTAGTTTCCCTTGGCCACACACATGTCAGTTGGTCTGCTTACTGGTCAGACAGGGATGTGATTTTTGTTGTCGCTACATCAGTTAAGTGATTTTTTGTGTGCTTGTTTGTATTTGTAGTTTTGTATATGTATGTAATGTGCTGAAGGCGGCTCTCTAGCAACAGTGCTTACTTGTTGTTTGTGATATTGTGAAGCTTTCATTTGATTATATATCTAACATTCTGCAACTTTTCAGCTATGGGTTTGTTGAGTTCTCAAATTGTGAGGAAGCGCACAGGGCACTTAATGCTGCTCCTGAAGAGTTATGTTTCCTTGGAAAGTACGTATTTTTCTTTATTGTTGAAAAATTTTTTTTTTTTTTTTTTGGGTAATTTAAAGCCATTTATCTCACCTAGTCTAATTAAGTTAAAAGTGTCGTCCCAATATGGGACGCAATTTTCCGTAATTTGAAAGCCCCATCCCAGCTGTAGTCAGGGGCCCTAATATAACCTAACGGTTGAAATGGGTTTCTAGGTCCTGTGTATCGCCGGTGTTGATCGCTTGTTGAACTGTCCTGATGGGTTTAAACAACACACACACCTTTCCTCACAAGAACTGAACAGGGTCTCATAGAGATCAAGTTCTTGGAGCACCACGGTGTCGTACAGACCATCCACAGACATGATTATTGCCTTGTGAAAATTTAACAGATTCCACGCCTATCCACAATAATGAAGTTTTAATTCAAGTCAGACGTGTTTGTGTTTTTTTCAAACATGAACTTACACATCACCAGGACTCGTGCTTTGAATGGCTAAGTTATTTTGGTTGGGTCCATATATTAGTCAGATGGTTTAAATTGTCTGAGATGATACATGAAGTTTTACCGTCTAGAAAAAAAATATATAATTTTGGTTGGTAGACCAAGAGGACAGATCCCAAATACCCCATTCAGCCTGTAAAAAGGCTATGATTAGGGCACACATAACAGCTTGTGTAGAACTCTAAAGTTTCAAAATAAAGTTGCCATTTTCAAACCTAATGTTATTTCAGTTGTAAATATAAGCCAGTGGAAGTTGGGGAACCACTAGAGACATGAAACAAAAGTTAAATACATTTGAGAACAAATGCCTGTAATATAGAATGGGATGGATTCAAGAGGATAGAGAAATTTTTTTAAATGTCTGGTCAACCAGTATGGGAGCTTAGCTTAGTTTGTTTCTAGGTCACTGGGGTGAAAGTTTTAACATTGATAATATTTGTATGCTCCAGATTCTTGCGAGTTAACTTGACTCACCGCACACCTGAGAGAAAAGATACAAGACAGGCAGATGTCAGCAGCGACAGTCAAAGCTCTTGCCAGGTAACTTCTGATTCACATGATAAATTATGTAATACAAAAAGAGAATCTGAATAACATAGTTGCTAGTGCATGGGTTCCCAACCCTTAGATCATGACCCTACTTGTGGTCGCAAAGGGTGTTCTTTGAGGTCACCAGGCAGTGGTGAGCTATGAAAATTGTTAATAGGAAAAACAATTTAGTCATGTCATCACATCCTGTGAGATTTGTTTGTGGAATTCTGGCATTGCTCAGTTTGTCACTGGTAAATTCTTAGTTATAAGTTACGCTGCAAAAAAATATGTTTTTGATGTGTTTTCATTTATCTTATTAAAAAGCCTTTTTTTTTTTTTAATATGTGGGGTCACAGGTCACTTTGCCTTTATAAATTGGGAGTTGTGGCTCAAAAAAAAAAAAAAAGAAAGGATGGACACCGCTGAGTGAACTTAGTGTCAGAAACTGAGGCTTTCTTCTCCATTTTAGTCTTGTAGTTTACGGCTTGGCTGTGATATTTGTGCATTTTGGCGAACACTTCTTATTTCATAACACTCTTAGTTGCCTTTTACTGCATACTTTTTAAGGAACACTGAGTGTGTTTTCTTGTTCCCCACAAGCAGGTGCTCCCCGAACCCACATGGGGAGTTTTTGTGAAACAGTCTGTTTTCTCCACACCAACATGGGGAGTTTCTGTGAAACAGTCTGTTTTCTCCAAACCCACAAGGGGCATTTCTGTGAAACAGTCTGTTTTCTCCACATCTACATGGGGAGTTTTTGTGAAACAGTCTGTTTTCTCCATACCCACATGGGGAGTTTCTGTGAAATAGTCTGTTTTCTCCACATCTACATGGGGAGTTTTTGTGAAACAGTCTGTTTTCTCCACACCAACATGGGGAGTTTCTGTGAAATAGTCTGCTTTCTCCACACCCACATGGGGCATTTCTGTGAAACAGTCTGTTTTCTCCACACCAACATAGGGAGTTTCTGTAAGAATAGTCTGCTTTCTCCAAACCCACAAGGGGAGTTTCTGTGAAACAGTCTGTTTTCTCCACACCCACATAGAGAGTTTCTGTGAAATAGTATGTTTTATCCACACCCAACATAGGGAGTTTCTGTGAAATAGTCTGTTTTCTCCACACCCAAATGGGGAGTTTCTGTGAAATAGTCTTTTTTCTCCACACCCACATGTCCTGGACCTCAGTGTGACTGTCTGATTACTTGCTTATTCTCCAGATTTCTGCACCTGATATTATGGTTAAGTATACATAGCATGTGACAATTCTCCTTTTAACCATGTTGCCAAAGAAGACCAAGTCTTGTCACTTCCGGTTGTGACCCAGTCTCATAAATGCTGATATATCCATCTGTCTGCAGTGACCTGTTCTCAAAAAGAATGAATTCCAGTGGTTCTGTATATGCCTGGACAGTTTTATAAGCCAGAATGTTTAAATATAATAACTAAACATAGCATTTAGGTTGTTTTTTTTTTATGACCACAATGGCATTTTTTAAACCAAATTGATGTCAGATTTTCCCATAAGCCTCTGTGTCTGAGGTCATGACATGGCATGATTTGCCTGAATACATGTTGTTTTTTCATCCCCGGGAAATGTATTCCATTTAATATTAATATTTTAAATGGGGTAATTTTGTGGCATATTCTAGACCCCTCTTTTTCTGATTTTAATTCATGTGTTACCTTGCCCTTAATTGCATCTACATTGATTTGTTGGTTGTCTTGTCTACTAGATGGCAGCAGCACAGACTCCCTCACATATAAACATATTAACTGATGACTCGTTGGTTCATGTTTTTGAGTATCTGTCTCCTTTAGAGTTACTCAGGATAGAAGCAGGTGAGTTAAACTTTGAACAAAGAAGACACAAACAATAGATTGCACCATTTATTGCCTTGTATATTTCGCTGTATCTTATCAGGTGCATACTACAGTAACAATTACGTAAAGGATTATAAAGGATTCACTTATTTGCTTCATTTGCAATCTATTGTTTGTATCTTCTTTGTTCATAGTTAAACTTTATTTTCTTATTTTAGTTCATCTATTTTTCTGTCATTCATTCAAATATTTTCAAAATTTTTTTCAATGTTGCAAACAAACCCCAACATATTTCTGGCTATTATGGGGTTTTACTAGCCGGTTTAAAAATATGCATGTCTTGACTTATTTTGCCTGTGTGGCTTTTCTTGGCCCCATTATGAGGAGTCGAGGAATAGACCTATTGCCTCTCCCTGGCAGGCGTGATGTAAATGTCAGCTAATTAGGGGTGTTTACTTTGAAGTCAATGGTATGCCTGGGAGGCGAGGAATCAACAATCTGTTTACAAATAAGCCAGATCTGTAAAATTGATGAGCAGCTAAAACTCAAGTTTTAGAACAAGAGAAAGAACAGCTAGAATTTTTTGCCAAATATTACAGTTGGTGCATTCAGATAAGAAGATTGGTATATTCTAGGCCATTTTACGTTCACTAGTTTGCTGTTGATTCCGAACAGTATGCCACTCATACTATTGCTGAAGTCAAACAAAGTGCTCTGCTACTAAATCGCCTGCAACTGAGCTTGAATTCCAGTATACTGAGATTGTAAAACTGCATTCACAACCACAAAGTCACAGGCGTCCTGCCAAGGATTTACAACTAATTTATGGCCTGCTACATTTTAGGCAGCTCTTTCTCTGCTTTTTATCACCCAGTAGAGCATTGTCCTCCAGCCAGGTCAGCTTATGTTATGTTATCATAATCGGCGTTACTGCACATTGGGCTCAGTCCACCAATGCAGCAGTGACTCCAAGGTACTTCTATTAATTGTTCCAAGGAGAGGTTGGTTATAGTGTCTCATATCTCTGCCTCAAAGGTGACATAGACATTCTTCATTGTGCTTTACTCCCATGTCACGCAATCATGTTAGTGTCAGAGATTCGTCATTATCCACTAGCCCAGTCTGTACAGCGTTGACGATATCTGATCTGTCCATGCTTCTTACCACTTGCGTTAGTGCATTGCTTGCCAGTTGGTCCGCTCGCTCATTTTCCTTTACGCCCACATGACCAGGTGAATAGATCCAGGTGAGGGAGGTTAAGTGTTTTTCAAATGCTTTCTACCAATTCAGAGCGCATACTGCCTGTTGCCATTTTCTTAAGCTTGTTCATGGAGTCTTGATACAATTACTGCCTGTGTGGCTGTTTGCTCTGCTGCCCATGCTAGTGCTCTAGAAGTAGCGGCTATCTCCATGGTCATGCTTGACATAACTGCTTGGTGAGCGCTGCTGTCTTCTTTTATAGTTTTTCCCATCCTTTGTGCTGTGTATGCTGACATCTTCAGGGTGTGAATGCTGATCTGTCAGTGCCCTTACCTCTGTGTCTACAGCCGCAGAAATCACTGCAGTATCTCCCCAGTGTGGTGACAGCCTTAGAGATGGGATGCGTGTCTACTGGTTTATTCGTCTATTCTTTTCCATGACTGATCTCATCCAGGTCACATACCTGCTGCATTACATCTTCAGCCTTGGCCATCCAGATAAGCTTATCTTTTGTCATGCTAGCATCTTACCTTATGTCCTTCCTATCTTTTTCTACCTGTTCTATGATTGTCTTCTTTCCATTTTCTTTCTGTATTCCTTTGACCATCTGGGTTCCAGTTTAAGGACATTCTAGTTGTACTATCCGCATATTTTCTCAGGGTGTCTTATCCATCATCTGCATCTTCTCCTTACCTCTTCATTCACATGAATTCATTTTGTTCTGCTCCAGATCTCTTTATTAGAGATTCTGTCATACCATGTAATTTCTGCTCTTCTGCAAATGCACCAGTTAATGAATATTTGTAATTTTCTAATAAGTATTTTGGTCATTCTCCATGTTTTTGCTCCATACAACAGTGCTGATTTGACATAAGAGTGAACTGCAAAAAAAGTTTTGAACTAGTTTTATTTCCTTTGACTTACTTTAGAACTTTAGTCTTTTAAGGTTGTGTTAAATTGTCCTCAGTGTGCAAGAGATGGCAAGAGTGTGCTCTGGTCGCTGCCAGACAAAAGAAGTTCATGATTCTCACCAGGCACTGTCCTTTTATTACGTGTAAGTAAATTTTTTAAAGGCGTAATCTTGGAAAAACAAATGAAGCAGTCCTTCTAAAGACAGGGAAAATTCATAAACTGATTACTGAAATTAGACGTGGACTATCAGTGTTTTTCAGACATGTTCTCAGAAGGGATGGACTCAAGAACTTGGTGACAAGTGGCAAGAATGATGGAAAGAGAGCTAGGGGAAGGTACAGAGATAAATATTTGGATGGTTTAGCCAGATGGATATGGGGGGTGGGGGGGGGGAGCAAGAACACTGTCCTGATCCATGATTCTGGTTATTATGTGAGGTGGCGAAATACAACAGCCTATGCCAAGTTTATTAAACTGGTGGCCCACAGCCAAATCTGTCATGGGAGGCCTAGAGTGTGGCCCACGGATCATTGGCAGTTGTATTGTATTAATGGTTTTCTTGTGCTAGGGCTCGAGCCTCTGGCCCTCGACGTAACTAATTTTTGAAAATTTGTACCCCTGAATAAACTTATTTGAAAAGTCCTGGCCTATGCTAGTCAGCATGACACATGATCAAACTTTTTTCAGAAATGTCCTTGGCACCCTGGTCGACCCTGCCTCGAGGGAGTACCAGGTAAAGTCCTAGGAAGTTAAGGTGATCACATCACCCACCATATGTTGTTTGGTCTGTAAAATATAGGTCTAGTCCTGTATGCCTGTGTCACCTTCTGGTGTGGAAAATGGTCCTTTCCTTTCCCTTCCTTTTACTATGGCGCATAAAGATGATTGTTATGAACGGATAATGTAAAGGTAGTAGTGCAATAAATATTTGTAACAGACACGAGTTACTAAACATGCACTTAAGAATGACAATGGTGTAAACAGACTAGCCATCCATGGCTGATGAACTGCACTTAAACAGACACAGAAAAATTATACAACATGAGCAGTCTTGCAGAACTTAGAATTTACTGGAGACAGACAGTTTTGAACATTCACAGTGGAGGGTTGTGTTCGGCGGTTGTTGTTATAATGTTAGCACCTTTTTATCTTTCCACATGCTAGTGTTATTCTGTGCTGTGGGGCGGCTTGAGAATCACAGCCCATGCTGATGATACGAATGATTAGAAAGACCCGTCCACATTGAGAAAAGCCTTCCTTGGTTAGAGCAGGGGATTTCAGGACCACTGTTGCTATCACATGTCTGTTTCTTCTCAGATGCTCAGCTCTCAGCCTGTCTGCAGCCATTTTTCCCCCTTGTTTCCCACTTCTGATTATTTCTCCCTCCTGATATTCCCACTGCATACAACACAGTTAATGGTAGTTTGTTCCCATGAATCTGCATCAATACCTGCAGCATTTGTGTCCTACTTGCACAGATATTTATATCGCAGTAGAGGCCGACCTTGACATTTTCTACCCATCTGCAATTCATCATAAAGAATGTCTTTGGGGACTCTGCCAGCCTCAGTTCTCCAAGTGTGAGCCCTGCCGCCTGAGCCTTCAGAGAATATCTTTAGGGACTCTACCAGCCTCAGTTCTCCAAGTGTGAGCCAGCCCCTTGAGTCTTCGGAGAATGTCTTTAGGGACTCTACCAGCCTCAGTTCTCCAAGTGTGATCCAGCCACCTGAGCCTTCAGAGAATGTCTTTAGGGACTCTACCAGCCTCAATTCTTTAAGTGTGAGCCCCGCCACCTAATCCTTCAGAGAATGTCTTTCGGGACTCTACCAGCCTCAGTTCTTCAATTGTGAGCCCCGCCACCTGAGCCTTCAGAAAATGTCTTTAGGTACTCTACCAGCCTCAGTTCTCTAAGTGTGAGCCAGCCACCTGAGCCTTTAGAGAATGAGCATTGAGAAAACTTGTGATACCTGCTCATTTCTGTAACTCAGTGTTTGTGATCTTGTCTTGCGACTTCATACCAAGTATTCTTTATAGGCATTGCATGTGAAAGCTATTTAGCCTCTTCTGCTGGTGCTAATAAGTGAACTAAATTTTACTGCCGTAAAGAAGCATGCTTTCCCTAGCACAAAGCCTGGGCAATATTGTAGAGATTATGTGTTGCCCATGCACCACGTTCCCTCACTCTGCCTGCCTTGTTTACTCCATAGGAAAGGTAACCCCAAAACATTTGTAACAAAGCAAGCTGCAGAAGCTGCTAGATTTGAAGAGCATTGCTCTGCCTGTCTGAGCTTCCCTCCTAGACCAGCTGCCAGACAAGGCTAACGGTCTGGTCTCCCCTGTGATAAAATGAAGTTTGCAGCTTGTATTTCTTCTTCTTAGGATAAGGCAAGTATCCTCCCCACTTCACTCCTCCACCGAAGCCTTTGGCACAGTGTGCAATGTCATTCAGCGTTAGCAGAAAACCGACTACTTCTATACAGTAGGTCAATCATATTTGACCAGTACCTGAGTTCCACAGTTAAATATATTATAGCAATGTTTTTTAGACAGTAGTTGTGTTTAGCAGTTTTTTGTGTGGTAGTGACTAGCGTACAACTATATCTATGATTTGGTTACATGTGCATGAATACATTTCTTTAAATTTATTAGGGACCTGGGTAAAAAATTAATTTTTTTTTTTTTGGACAGACTTTGAGAATTTACACGGGATTGTGACCTATTTTTTAGTGTTACGGTGGCCAAAGAATTAATTCTGAATCTGTTTTTTTAAAGCCATGAAAGGTGGAGGATTTTACAATCTGCTGTCCAAATGCTGCAATCTGGTGTCACTAGACATTTCCTCTGTGGTTATGTTTTTAAGAGGCATGGATCCGTTAAAAGTCATTGGTGAGTGATTGTTTGGTTAGCTGTTTATTGTACATTATCTTAGATGTGTGATTGTTTGGTTAGCTATACATTGTACACTATCTTAGATGTGTGATTGTTTGGTTAGCTGTTTATTGTACACTATCTTAGATGAGTGATTGTTTGGTTAGCCCTTCATTGTTAACTATCTTAGATGTGTGATTGTTTGCTTAGCTACACATTGTACACTATCTTAGATGTGTGATTGTTTCGTTAGCTATACATTGTACGCTATCTTAGATGTGTGATTGTTTGGTTAGCTATACATTGGACACTATCTTAGATGTGTGATTGTTTGGTTAGCTATACATTGTACACTGTCTTAGATGTGTGATTGTTTGGTTAGCTATACATTGTACACTGTCTTAGATGTGTGATTGTTTGGTTAGCTATACATTGTACACTATCTTAGATGTGTGATTGTTTGGTTAGCTATACATTGTACACTATCTTAGATGTGTGATTGTTTGGTTAGCTGTTTATTGTACACTATCTTGTATGAGTGATTGTGGACAGCAGTTCTGCAGGGGAAACGATGACCACCACCACCTGTGACTAGAAAGATTATAGTCTGTGTTGTTTTAAGTCCAGGAAAGATAGGAAAAATATAAAAAAAATTTGCAAGATTTACAGGTCCACTTACAGTAGACAAATAAAGGATGTCGCAGTGCTTAGCCTTCATCAGCAGAACAACGTTAAGAAACAAAACACAAAAAGGAGATGACTACAATTTGATATTCAAATATTATGTAAACAGAAGAATAATAAATGACAGATTTGTATAAAGTAAATGATACTTATTTTGACTGCCGTGAATTTTATCAAGAAAGGAAAACTCAATTTTATAAAGGATAAAAAGCTCTCATTTTTAAAATGGATAGAATGTCTGAATATTATAGAGAAAAGAAAGCTCTGAATTTTATAAAGGAAAGATAGCTCAAATTCTTGTAAAGGAAAGAAATTTAAAGAAACTTTTTTAGTTGATATCAGCTTGACTGCAGCAACCTTTTTTCATCATTTCTGATATACTATTTCAATCAGCTACATTTGGCAAACACATTGAAAGACTCAACATCTCCGGCGTCAGTTCTAATAATAAGAGTTTAGAGATTTTGGCAAGGGAGTGCACTCAACTGAAGGTAGGAGTTATTCTTCTTGAGTACTCTTTTTCTCACAAAATTGTTTCAGATAGAGCATAAGCATGAAGATGATGTTTGTAGTTCAGTTGTTAAAACTGTTCTCGCTCTGCATATATGCCTTTCCTTCGAGTGCCTGTTTGATGCTTCTGTAATATGTGACTTGAGTTTCTTTTTACATTTATTAGTAGCTCATAATCTTCTTCAGCATTCCGAGCCCTTGAGGTTCATTGCTGCAGATATCACCGGCCTCCATTTATCTCTCTGGTTGGCCTTCTCTTTCCAGTTGGTGACATCAAGTGTTTGCAGGTCTGTCTGGGCGTAATCTTTCCATCTTCTTCTTGGTCTGCCTCGTGGTCTACGACCATTCATCTCCCTTTTGTATACAGTTTTTACTTCTCTGTCATCTGATATTCTTTCCATCCGAAATTGAGGCTTAGATGGTATGTATGAGTGTGTGTGTATTTATGTATGTATGCAAGTATCCATGTGTGTAAGTATGTGGGTGTGTGGTTATGGATATGTCTATGTTTGTATATATGTATCTATGTGTGTGTGTGTATGTATGTGTTTGCAGGTCTGTCTAGACACTATGTATGTATGGGTATATGGTAGTTCATACTGTAATGCAAAAATGTCATAGACTGTTCAGTTAAGGAGTATAACATTGCATGTTGGAAAGTAATTTTCCTTTGCAGTCGGAGTAACATCTGCCTGAGAGGTGAGATACCAAGAGTCTGCACATACACAATAAGCCAGACCTGTAAAACATTTGCAAAACCCAAGTCCTGGAACAGGCGTAAAGTCTAGAAGCAGATAAACAACCAGGACTTTCTGCCAGAGTTTACATCCAGTGAACTCTAAGGAGAAGACACAAAAAAAAATCGTCATTTGAAAAGGATTTACAAGAAAAATTGTGTTGAAGATTGAAGCCTTGTCAATTTCATGTGTATTATTCTTGAATAATCTAACAGATTAAGCTACTCTAAAATCTGGCGCATTGGAGTCAGTGTTGCTTGGGCCCTAAAAAAAAGGCCTGCATCTTTTTGAAAGGGTAATCTAGAGACGTTTCCTCTGATCTAGTACCAAAGTAGTGTCTCCATGGGGGCTGCCTTGCAGAGTTGTCCTTCCCCTCTCTAGAAATCAGTGGCATGTGCAAGACTGGTGCTATAATTTCACAGATCTGAAGAGATGCTCAGGCAGACCAGAACCTGGGAGTTAAGGCCCACTTAGGGCCCTACTCCAAAAATTTGCTAGGGGGTTAAGGTTTTCCCTGACCATGTATTGACATTGTCTCTTAACTCTTTCAGTACCAAGGAAGGCATCAAACGTTGATTTAGTTTATTTCCTCAAGTATAAGATGATCCAATGTGTCTTCATTTTGAGACCAACAAATTTGGAGAGAGAAACAAAATTATATAAAGTTATTGAACTGACATTTTATTTATTATAAAATCCAGAAAACTCCTCATCACTTTCAAGACTCTCATCCGTATGATAGTTCTTTAGCTAGTTCTTGTCTGTGTCTAATGATGTCACTGACTTCATATATACAAGTATATCACTGACTTCATATATATTGTGTCTCATTCTCATTCCCATCTGCAACATTTTAAATGGCAAACTTCTTGAATGACTGGACAAAGATCTCAGTCTTCACATTATCCAAGGATTTTTTTCACCCAGGTACAAACTTCTCCAGTAGGTGGTTTCTTCACACTACCTGCTGGTGTCAAATTGTCCCCAGAAGATTTCATCCGTACTTCATTCATTGGTTCTGTCGTCTCTCATGGCAACTTTAAAGGGTTTGTTAAGGCTGACATCTAGTGGTTGAATCTTAGTGGACACAGGAATTCCTAATGCAACAAGAGCAAAACAATCGCTGTGAAGACAACCACAAAAACTATTAAAAGGGTAAAGAATTTTATAATTGTTTTTCCATTTTTGTGTTGCCCCTAAACTGACATTCCTAAATGAGGCCCAGTACAAGATACTTTCTAACAAATCATTTCATCTAATTTATTGAATAAGACACTGTTTTTACATGTAGTTTAACTCTCCTTTGGTGCTGGAAAAGTAAAGTATTTGCTTTGACATCTCATATTATTTCAGACATAATGTTATATTTATTTGCCATTCAGTAAATACAAATAACGCTAATAACAATTATTATCCCATGTGTCTCCCAGTAGCCTAGCTCCCTTCTCCGTGTATTTTTCGGTCTGCCTTTATTGTTATTACTGTACACTTAAACAAGGCTATGACCCCTTAGAGGGGCCACTCCCCCATGTTTTCTTTTTGTCCGAGTCCATAAACAAACACACCAAGATGTATCCAAGTTGTGATTCAGGGTTGCACAAAATGGCTGCCAGGGATTCGGCCTGGGCGAGTCATGTTTCCTGCACAGGTGATATCTATTTCAGTGTCGTTAGGTTTCAGTCTAGTGCTCATAGCAGCTCGCTGTGGTGTCACCGACCGTGGCCAGGTGGTCTAGCCGTATGCCTCGTGCTCTGAAGATCATGGGTTCATTTCGTGGCTGTGTCATTTGTTTTAAGGGGGCAATTCAATTTTTACAGAGACCACTGGGGTCATTGCCTGAGCTATGGTGTTTGTGCTGTGTGCAGCCCTTTCAACAGGCAGCTTGCTGTTCTTTTGAGAGAGACTAAGCCATATGGGATCACACCTGGTGCAGTGAAGTAGATCCTCTCGACTTTAACCTAGTGGGGCTGGCATAAATTGAAACAGAAAAACAGATGTAGCCTTTAACTGATTTGTTTGTTTAATAAATTCACCACATTTTGTTTGCTTTTTTTTCATTTGAATCAAGTCACTGACGGTCAAGAATTGTTCAAAAATCTCAGAGAAAGGGTAAATTTGCTAGTGATTCAAGTAGTGTTGTTGTTGTTTCGTTTTTCTCTTTAATCTTGCATACCTGTAATTGAGGGGTGAAGAAATAAGAGAAATGTCTGGGCAACCACTGCCTGGAAGCAACAGTTATAAGACAGAGAAGACGGTGCAACGCTGGACACATCCTAAGAAGAAACCAGCAGAGAATCATCAAGCAAGCACTAAAATGGGAAATAAAAGGATAGGGGAAGCCAGGACGTCCAAAAGAAAAGAAACATTAAAATAAACGTTGAGCGAGGCCAAAGATGCTGGACTGAATTTTAGCCATGATGTCGATTAGAACATGTGGAGGAATAGACTGTATGCCATGCAGTGGCACATTAGGACATTGATGATGATGATGATGATATCTGTCATTGGTTTCGTGACAGCAGGAAAGTTACAGGAGAAGGAAGACATGGATGTTTTGGCAGCGTGATATTTAAAGAGCAGCTAGCCCGGCTCTCTAGCGTAGTTGGCTAAACCTGATTGCGCGGTGACCGGGTGACGAACTCCTTGTGGTCCAGGTTCACTCCCAGGGGTAGGCAGAAAAGCCACATTTCTCTCAGATTTACGGTATTTACAATGAAATCAAGGCCGAAAGGTTGTGATATCCATAATACCAGACATTTGTATATTTTTTTTGTTTTTTCTCTAGGATTGCAATCAGAAAGATTAACAGACTCAAAGAGTCATTATCTGGGTGAGATTTCTACAGGCGAAAATTCCAGAAATCTTGTTCAACCATTTTACAGTTGTTCTTGTGTTAACAGGCTGTAAACTCAAGTAGAAAGTTCTGGTTGTTCATTCACTCCTTGAGTTTTGCGTGCACATCCGCTTTACACCTGGCACCTGGTTACATATGACCTGCAGTCCGATGTGGCAAGGTTGCAGGTAGTGCTTTAATATCCAAAATTATGGACAGTACCTGAGACAGACTTTACTACCACGGCCACACAA